ACTCTCTCCCTATTTATTTCAAAACCCCCTTCCCCTCCCCCTTTTCTGATGAAGGGTCTAGGCCCGAAACGTCAGCCTCTCTGCTCCTATGATGCTGCTTGGCCTGCTGTGTTCATCCAGCCCTGCACCTTGTTGTCTCTTATTAAAACCCTCATTGTAAGCCTTGTCTCTGTCATATGACCAGAGCATCTCTTCCCATTGTCATTGTATGTAATTTTGATAGTTAGGCCATTGTAAGACTTTGTCATCTAGATAGTACTCATCTACATACTTGAAGAGCTTGAGCTTTGCACATCAATTGTTTATCAATTTTCAAGTTTAGGGTCGGAGGCTGCACCGATATTGTAAACGAGTCTTTCTAATTAATTGGAAAAATGCACCCCTTGTCACATAGGTATTTGCATTTAATTAATTTCACAAAGACTTGTCCAGGTGTGGAAATTAGCTCAGTATTTTTAGAGTTCCATGTTTTGGTTTAAAAAATGTATCTTAACCTCTTTAATTTTCTGTTAGAGCTGTCCAGATATTTTTGTTTTATTTTCTTTCATTCTTTTACTTTCTGGGGACAGAATGGGTAGTGTTGTATAATTTAGAAATTTTGAGTGACTCATTTTTAACATGAAATTGACTTTAGATCATTAGAAGCAAAGTTGTTGCAGCATTTGAAAATATCACCTGATAACTTAGTGAATAAGTCAGCTCTGTATCCGATGCTCTTTCCTAAAGATGTTATCTGGTATGCTTTCAAGACTTGTATGACTGCATACAGTTGGGGTTGTCTTGCAGTAGCTGATGTGAGCCTTCCTCAAAGTGCCTGCCTGCTGCCTTATGCCTCCTATTGACATGGCTGGCCTGAGCAGCACAGCTAGCCTTAGCAATACAGTTCATTGAGAATGCCGAGCATGAACCCAATCCAAATAACTCAATTAGAAGACAAGATTATTTAAACAACCTCCTTTCAGTAGTAAAACAAATCAACTGCTGACAACTTCAATTTGTATTGAACCTGAGATTTGATCATAATCCCATGGGGACTGTGTAATTCTAGTGGCATTAAATATACTGAATTTTTCTGAAGATTGCAAGATTCTTAAAAACTGTTTCCAGCAGTGATGCCTGTTTCCAGTGGTGATGTCTGTTTCCTTATTCACAGATTTTTTTGTGAAGTGCGTTGGAGAGGAAGCAAAGTACGAGGGAGTCCGATTGCTATTTGAAGGGCTGCAGCAGCCAGTGCTCAACAAACAGGTGTGTACCCAGGTTTAGAGTAATGTTTCAAGTCACTTCATACCTAGATTGCCAAATCATCTAAGGATTGCAGTAGTGCTAAATGTGTGGAATATTTTCAGCTTATGCATTTTTTATAAACTGAATTGTGCAAGATTATTAGTGTAACTTCTGTCATTTCGATACCTGGAACAAAATTTTCCCCTTACCGGCGATGGTAAGACAGCTGACAAGAAAGGGAAATAATTGGGTGAGTTGGCCCGTGCTCACCCCATCCTCGTCAACTCAGCAGTATTATGCTGGGTGAGAAAATCCATGGATGATTAGCTCAATTTACCATGAATCAAATATACCATGAGTAGCAAATTAATGGCCACTTAAGGGCTTCAATTCACCAACTCCCGAATTACCAAACAAATCCCAAACAGCCAACAAAGATGTCGGGCAAAAGGCTGGTCTCTGAAAGCCACCCTCTTGCCTTTGCCTCTTGATCCCATGATGCCCCTCTCCCTATGACTTCGACCATCCCTTGAAATCTCTGCCCACTGGATCCCGTGTCATGGTTGGTTAAGAAGGCAAAATACTTGCTCTTGCTCATTTCTCAACTCTTAATCAGATTAGGGGGTGATCTAGAGAGTTCTGTCAATATTGAGACAGGTGGTGTCACTTGTCACGTAAGGTTTCCTCCTTCCACTCTGCATGGCCAATGACTGAAAATTGCTAGAAGGAATAATGTGCCCTTTACTGTGGTACTTGTACAACTTAACTGGAAAGCATGTGCCTATAATCATGCTTCAATATTCCACAAGCCGTCACAAAATGTATAAATGTGTAAAATCCCAATGAGACCACTAAAACAACCAATTTGCTTGACTGACTCCGGTCAAAAGGAATTCATACCACGTTTTATCAGTGACAGAAAAAATAAACCTTACTGTAACACACTCAATTTAACTAAAGTTCAGTGAAGAGAGAGGATTTCTAACTTGTGCAACTTAAACTACACACATTGAAGACCCCAAACACAGACGCTCAATCATTATTATGGCAGAGGATAAATGGTTTAATATGAATACTGTGATTGGGTAAAAGAATGCATATAGAGTAAATAAAATAGTCCGAGTCATAAGGTGAAAACTTCTTAGTCATTTTGATTTTAGTATTAATGACATGTCGATGATTATTCAATTCAGGAATTGATTGGGTGAACTCGGGTCTTTTCTTAGATGAATTCTTTGAAGAATTTTTATTTTTTTCTGTCTTTTCCACACAGGGAATGAGGGATGAATTCTTTCTGTCTGCAGGCTCTGGATGTTTCTTCTCCTCTGCTGCTTTTAGCAGTTACAGCTTTTAAACACTTTGCAGCTCAACCAATCAGAGGGCTATTATCAGGCAGAATTTCTTCAACTAAGTCTTGAATTCTCCCTTTTACTGCTTCTAAAAGTAACATTGTATTGCACAGCTTAACAATATGCAACACGTTTTTTTTTAAGTTACAGTAGTCCAACTTCTATTTCAGTGTACACATACAAAAAAGAAAATATGTGGTCTCTTCGAAACCTTAATTCCTAAAGAATTTGAAAAGTGACTTTATACGTGTTTCATTATCAGGTGAACGTGACATGCAATACAACACCAAAAAAGAAAATTACACTCATTGACCCTTATTCATCACTTATACAGGATATAGAACAGCAGGTCCAGGGAACCCTGGATGTCTAGGAGTATGAGAGTTTGATGAAGAAGAAGGAAGCATATGTTAGGTACAGAGCTTTAAAAACAGGGAAGGCCATTGAGGGTCCACAAAATATCTTTGGATGATAGGATAAAGAAAAACCTCAAGGCATTTTATAATTATATTAAGAGCAAGTGGATTATCAGAGAGAAAGTGGGGCTGATCAGAGACCAAAGGTGCAACTAGCACATGGAGTGAGAGGTCATTGGTGAGGTCTTATTTGAACATTTCTCATCTGTACCACACAAAGAATGAAATTGTAGCTGGAGATTTCAGTTGGAATGGTGAGGTTCTAGAGCATGTTGAAATTAATAAGGAAGAAATAGATGTTTTAACAAGCATAAATTCCCAGGGCCTGATGAGATGTATCCCCGGCCACTATGGGAGGCAAGGAAGGAGATTGATGCGGCCCTGGTGGAGAAATTTCATACTTTGCTGGTCACAGGTGAAGTGCCAGATGACTGGAAGATAGTTATTGTGGTTCCTTTTTTCAAGAGGGGTAGCAATGGTAGGCCAGGTAATACTGACCAGTTGGTCTGTCATCAGTGGTGGGGAAACTATCGGAAAAAATTACGAAGGATTAATCAATAATTGGAAAGGCAGAGATTGATCAGAAATAGTCAGCATGGATTCATTGGAGGGAGATCCTGCCGGAGTCTAATTGAGTTTTTTTGAAAAGGTGTCTAAATATATTGATGAAGGCAGTGCAGTTGATAGAGTTTACATGGCCTTTGATAAGGTCCCACATGGAAGGATGATCTAAAAGCTAAGAGCTCATGGGATCCAAAGCAAGTTGGTGAACTGGATCCAAAAATGGTTGGCAAATAGGAGGCAAAGGGTGGAGGGTTGCTTTTGTGATTGGAAGCCTGTGACTAGTGGTGTACCACAAGGATCGATGCTAGGACTCTTGCTGTGTAAATTAATGACTTGGATGTGAATATAAAAGGTATATTTGATAAGTTTGCATGTGACAAAAATTGGTGATGTTGATAGTGAAGAGGATGTCTCAGGCTACAGTCTGATACTGGTCATCTGGTACATCAGGCAGAGCAATGGCAAATGGAATTTAATCCTGATAAATGTGAGGTGATGCATTTGGGGAGGTATAATAAGGGAAGGATACAGGCAGTGAATGTTATGAATCAACCACATTGCTGTCAGTCTGGAGTCACATGTAGGCCAGACCATGTGGTAAGGACAACTGTTTCCTTCCCCAAAGGATATTGGTGAATGAGGTGGGTTTTTTTGGTGATTAATAATGGTCTAATTGTTAGACTCTTAATTCTAGATTGTTATTGAATTCAGATTCAATAGGAGGATTCCATGGCAGGATTTAAAGCCAGGTCCCCCAGAGCATTACCTGGACTTCTGGAATGATACTGTAGCAATAATATCACTAGGCCATCACCTCCCCTTTGTTCACAGTATTATAGGTGTGATCTAACTAGTCTTACTAAGACTTTGTTAATTTTATATTCCATTCCCTTTGAAATAAAAGCCGGTTTTCTAGTTGCCTTCCCTAATTCCTGCTAACTTGAATGTTTATGTATAGGACCCTCAAATCCCTCTGTGTTAGAACATAGAACAGTACAGCACAGTACAGGCCCTTTGGCCAACTATGTTGTGCCGGCCTATTATCCTACTAAGATCAAACTACCCTACATACCCTATGTTATACTAGCATCCATTTGCCTATCCAAGAGTCACTAAATTTCTGCCCTGGGAAAAAGTCTCTGGCTAGCTACTCTATCTGTGCCTCTTATCATCTTGCACACCTCTATCAAGTCACCTCGTGTCCTCCTTCGCTCCAATGAGAAAAGCCGTAGCTCCCTCAACCTTTCCTTGTAAGACCTGCCCTCCAGTCCCAGGCATCATCCTGGTAAATCTCCTCTGCACCCTCTCTAAAGCTTCCACATCCTTCCGCGAATGAGGCAACCAAAACTGAATACAATATTCCAAGTGTGGTCTAACCAGGGTTTTATAGCGCTGCAGCATAAGCTCGCGGTTCTTAAACTCAATTCCCCTGCCAATGAAAGTCAACACACCATACGCCTTCTTTACAACCCTATCAACATGGGTAGCAACTTTGAGGGATCTATGGACATGGACCCCAAAATCCCTCTTCCTCCACACTGACAAGAATCCTGCCATTAACCCTATATTCTGTATTCAAACTTGACCTTCCAAAATGAGTCACTTCACACTTTTCTGGGTTGAATCCCATCTGCCACTTGTTTGCCCGGCTCAGCATTCTGTCAATGTCCCGTTGCAACCTACAACAGCCCTCCACGCTGTCCACAACTCCACGAACCTTCGTGTCATCGGCAAACTTACTAACCCACCTTTCCACTTCCTCATCCAAGTCATTTATAAAGATCACAAAGAGCAGAGGTCTCAGAACAAATCCCTGCAGAACACCACTGGTCGCTGAGCTCCAGGCTGAATGCTTTCCATCTACTACCACCCTCTATCTTCTATTGGACAGCCAATTTTGTATACCGACAGCCAAATTTCGCTGAATCCCATGCCTCCTCACTTTCCCCATGGTAGGCTCATTCAGAATCTTATCAAATGCCTTGCTAAAATCGGTATACACCACATCCACTGCTCTGCCTTCATCAATGTATTTTGTCACATCGTCAACAAATTCAATAAAGCTTGTGAGACATGACCTGCCCTCTCAAAGCCATGCTGACTATTTCTAATCAAACTGTGCTTTTCCAAATAATCATAAATGCTATCTCTCAGAATCCTTTCCAATAATTTGCCCACCACAGAAGTAAGACTGACTGGTCTGTAATTTCCAGGATTATCCGTATTCCGTCTCTTGAGCAAGGAATGACGTTTGCCACCCTCTAGTCATCTGGTACTACTCCAGTGGACAGTGAGGACGCAAAGATCTTCGCCAAAGGGGCAGCAATTTCTTCCCTCGCTTCCCATAGTAACCTTGGGTATATCCCGTCTGGCCCAGGGGATT